GCCTAAAGGCTCATGCAATTACAAGAACTTTCAAAACATTACTCGTGTCTATTAATTTCCAAATTGTACTCGAGATCGTGCGATTTCCTATACAAATTGCACTCTGCGCTCAGTTCAATTACCATCATTAATCATATCCTTTTGTAATCACTACCAAATCCTGCAATCTGATTTGTTCAAAGGAGTGCAATTAATAACAAAATCGTATCCTTAGGAGCTCTTATTCCCATGCTTTTGAGCTATTAACCGCATCTTTTCGAAAGAACCAACCACAGAAAATGAGATAGGATAATCACTGAGTTAGGGGTCGAGCTGAGTTTGAGTTGAGTTTGAGTTGAGCTTCCTAAATGGTCTTGTCACATAATTTTTTGTATTTGTTTATTTTTCTTTTTTGCCTTTATTTACTTTGATATTTTTTTGACACATTTAGTCGTTTACTGCTTCAAGTTAATTTTTCTCTAGTTCGAAAAAATGAAAACCACTTCCGGCAGCCCGAAATAACTCATCCATATTATAATAAAGCAAAAGCGATACTTTGTGTTTATCGACAAACTCATTCTGACGATGATACACATTAAGAGGAAATGTTTTTTTTWAAATAATAAGCAAAAATGGCAATAAGYGCTAAAAACTAGACTTTCAGATGAGTTTTGATCCCAATTTTCGATTTTGGTTAACACTCAAAACCATTTTTAAACACTTACAAACTGATGTACTAGAGTGCAAACAATTAATCCGTGAAACACTAATTAGTAAATAGTACAAAACATTGCTAATTAAACAATAGAAAACAATGGAATTTGCAAGAAATTGTGCTATATTTTAGTATTATTAAAGTTTCATGGTTATATTGTTTACACTATGAGAAAATGCCTGTTTGAAGCGGTATTTTCACTATTGTACAAAGATGTTTTGTTGCATTTCTGCTAGAATGTAGCTTTGTCAGGCTTTTTCATAGGAAATATACGGGAAATAAGCAAATGAAGGCCTAAACATCATTTTCGAAAATTATTTTTTTTGCCCGTGTTTTAACACTTTGATTATACTTTCATCGGTCATCTCCACTTCCAATCAAGTTAAACTTTCTGAATAACAAGATTTTAGCCTTGTACAACAGCCTTTTTTCAAGAAAATAGTTTTTGGCGCTCACTGCTTGAATACGAGAAGAATTCTCTCTTAACTTGTTTTTAATATTTTTAACTCGATCTACCTACCAAGAGACATATCGGTAAGACTTCCGGTTGAACTACGTACCGGTAGGTCACACTGCTTGCTTATTACTCTATATTGTGAACATATCCAAAAGGTTCACGAGAAGAACACGAACCATATTTATGATGGTAATATAACATAATGATGTGGTGCTCATAATAACGCTTTTCACATTCGCCTCAATTCTATTACAATGTATGTTATGTATGTGCGGAAATCCCTGTATTTGTAGCATTGGGCTTCCTGTGCCAACCAAGATGGCGTATTGTTTAAGATGTCTTTCTGCAATTACAACTGCAGGTTTTCAATGATTTTAAGCTTTAAATTCCAAAAAATCGCTGAAAACCAGCTCTCACTTGCTTCAAAATAAGGTAAGATTACAATATAATAAAGATGCGGGGTGATGGCCAAACGAATGACAACTCATCTTGTAAGGCAATTGTTTGATAAAAAGACTTATGTGAAGTGGAATGGTAAACATTCGGCGATTTCTCAATTTGAAGCATATTTTGAACGGAAAATGGAATTAGAAGTATTTTCTAGACCAAGTAAAGTCCTCCCATCGCGCAACTCAAACTCAACTCTCAACTCAAACTCAACTCAAACTCAACTCAAACTCAACTCAAACTCAACTCAACCTAAACTCAACCTCTAACTCAGCAAATAGCCAATGCCACAGAAAATCAGTGAATGAAACAAGCCTATTCAAAGCGTTTGCATAGCGTTTTTCTCCGTGAATTGGTACATTTTTACACTTTTTGATAGATTTTACAACAAAAAAGAAAAAACAAATTGTATTTTTCATGTAGTCATGGAAGAAAGCATTAACTTACAGCTTATTAATAATGATAACATCCAGATGAGCCTTTAGTTTACAAATTTTGAATTCAATGATGATAGTTTTCACGGAAATTCAACAAATGGTGATAACAGAGTTACTAGTGCTGCCATTGACGACGATGAATCAAACAACCAAGAAACGAGCCATCTGCAACAAAATTCAAGTTCTACAGCTGTWCCAACTAATCCCATTTGTGATGAACAAAGATTTCCTGTTGTTACTGAGAACGACATCGCTGAATTGAAGTCCAAAGCTGACAACGTAGACACTAAAAGATCAACGAAAACCTGGATGAAAGTTTTATCAAGCTGGTGCAGTGCCAGAGGAGTCAGTGACAAAATTGAGAAAATTAATCTAGTTGAGCTAGACAGCATGCTGACAAAGTTTTATGCAGAAATGAAGAAAGTAAATTGCGTGACTATGAACCGGAGTCATTGAAAATTATGCAATTCAAGCAGCCACTGATCGACACTTGAAAGATGCCGGCTACAATAGCAGTATCACAAGGTCACGCGAATTTTTCCCTGAAACGAACTCTGGGGTGATCAAAGTCAGAACTACATATTCGGTTTAGCTTTGACGAAAAAAGTCACAAGAACCAGTGAAGTATGTTGCAGTGGCCTGTTTTAGACGAAAAGGCAAAAGAGAGACTAAGCGAGGGACAGCAAAGCCAAGCCGAGATCGACAAAATAAAAAAGGTTGGCCAAGGGCGTTTAAAGAAAAAAGAACTTGTCTGTTTATGAACTTTAGTTTTATTAGTAATTCATAAGATAATAAGCTATCGTCTTCTTTGATGACTTAGGCTGATATTATTTTAAAAAAATAAGAAATTCAGAATGTTTTATTTCTTTCATTTGAAAAGCAAGTAGGTTTTTTTTTCTCAGAGAGATTCGCTTTGTCACAACTATTTGACATCATAACTATAAAATAATTAATCGGTTGTTTTTGTTGTTGTTGTGTTGTTTCTGTTGTTGTAGTCGTCGTTGTTGTTGTTTTTGCAACACAAAAGGAAAGGCAAGGAAGAAAAGAATATAATTCTGTCAATTTCAAAACTATCAATTTTTTTCGATAATTCCCAAAGCGATCGAGAGAAAAAATCGTTTCCAGTTTTCAACGTTTTAGAATGTCAAACTTTTCCATAACAATAAAATATAGGACAATGAACAAGTGAGTTCCAAGTTAAAATTTTTTAAGTAAATAAGTAAATCTAGATGTACATTTCGCATACTATAAGAATACACTGGACTAAATATGTTCTTACCTTCACTTTGCCACTACTCTGGTACATTGTCCAAGTGTTACTGTCAATAGATGTTGAAATCTTGTATTCTTTAGTACAAAATGGCCACTTAGGATGGCCTTGTGTAGCTACAGCACGGATAACAAACACCTCACCCAAGTCTATCTGTAGACAGTCATTAGGGTCAACATTGGTGTTTGGTATCCATGCACTGTACATTCCATTCAGTCGTGCATAGTGTGGTTTCGCAGATGTGACCAAATATGAGGTAGCCGTAAATCTGTCATCTGGTATGATGTTACTGTTAGATACACCGATGGGGTTCAGATTGATCGTACATCCACTACTCAGAAAAGCTGTAATAATAATAATAGTAATACTAACAATAATAATAACAATTATAAAAATAATGATGACGATGACGATGACGATGACGATGATGATGATTATGACACCAGAACTTGTGCCTGCCCCACCCAAAACCGGCTTAGTTTACTTGATACCAAGATAAAACTGATGATATTGTCATGATTTTTTGAACTAGATTCATTCGACGATAACACTGWAAATGTTAGATATTTTGTTCTTGGAATAAGAAATCATACTGTGCTTTACTTTTCATTTATCCTTGTATTTTGCTTTCATTTTGACTTGATTTTATATTGAATTTATGAAGAATTTGTAAATTGTTTCAGTTTATTTTGTTTTTTTCAAATTGATTTCATTGGGGCTTTTTATATTTTTTAATTTAATTAGTTTTTTAAATTTTGTCATGATTTTTTGAACTATGATTATTCAACGATAACACTGATGAATCCAGTGTTCTTTGAACTAAAGGGAAATCATGCTTGCATAAAGTCTGTGCTGACGAGGCCCAATACAGGCCGAAACAGCTGTCCACGGTATTTAGTTGAGCTGGCTCATTTTTTACGCGACTTGAAGTTGTGACAGGCCCATTGGCACTCTTCGGACGTTTCATACAAGGCTCGTAATTTACCTATTACGCATGTTCTTATATGGCTTCCGAGCCCTTCCCACACGGCTTACCGCCTCATCTATCATGACCTACCGCCTCATCTATCATAAAGACTGTTTGGTTTACTCATTACCAAGAAACTAGAAACATTCAACGATAACAATGATAAATTTGTAAGTGTAAATAAATCATAAAATGACGTAAAATGTCTGACGTTCTCAAAACTATAGCTTTACGAAAGTATAAAAACGATATAAGAGTGGATAGCAATCACCGCTTAAAGTGCATATCACCCCTAAAATGATAAAAAATAGGAGTAATCTACAATGATCAAATAAACCATTCTCGGTGTCAGAATTTGATTCTGAACAATTCTTAATTTTTTACAGATTTTTAAATATTTTTTTGGTCCCGCCCTGGCCGAGATTTTTGGGTCGGGGACCGAGCTACCGGAATGACGACAAGATAGGCACCCTTGACCTGTCAAACACTAAGAACACTGTTGATGAGAACCAGGCATACACGCAGATCTAGAATATTTGACCTCTTTGGAGTTTCGTTGTATTTACTGTTTTTATTCATGGCATTACTATCAGTCTTCTGATTCTAAATTGGGCTATGACTGGATGGATGTGAATACAGTTCTATTCCTGGAGTTAAAAAATTTTACTTATTACAGCAACGAGGACCAGCATTCGAGAGGACAGAATAGTAAGTCTTGAAATGCGAGAACGAGTACCTTCAGATCATGGATATGTTTGAAGAAGGGCCAGACTAGAAGCGAACCGCTTGACGTGCGATAATGTTTTAAAGAATACATCATAAAGAAGGACAGTGTAAAATTCATCGGACGAGGAAAAGTTTTTCATGGCTTTCTCATAATTTGTCGAGCTTTTGACTTATAATCATTCGAGACTTATACTGTTTACGCTTGATATTTTTAAAAATCAATTATTAGTCTATTATCTTGAAATATACCTCGAATGAAATAAAATCTGGTACTCTACGAGATCGAGAAAAACCATTTCTTGAGGTTTTGCTTAGAATCGTTCGATGTTTTGGAGTTCTTAGAGTGCTTTTATTTCGTGAATTGAGTAAGCGTCGAGCATCAAACACAAACTACTACTAATTTTTATACCCTCGCCAAGGGCGGATCCAGGGGGAGGGTCGGGGGGGTCCCGACCCCCCTGTCATTCCTGAGGTCAAATGGGCTTCCTGTGGTAAAAAAGCGACTGGGATTCCTTTGCCCACAATATTTACCCCTGAGACTCCCCCTTCAAAAAATCCTGGATCCGCCCTTGATCGCCATAATCAAAGTACAAGTGCTAACAGAATCGCTTAACTCAGTCGAACAAAAGCATCGTATTTTCGATCTATAAAAAGAAGGCTTTTAATTTAAAGAAATCCTACAAAAAAATATCGAATCCCGTACGAATAAAATGCAAGTGTGTGGGACATCGTGTTTGTGACCGTCACAAGGTTGATGGCGGTATACAATCGTACGAAAGTTCGACTAGTTGGGATCAGAGGAGGATACACTAGTATCCCAAGTTACTTTGCGAGTTTCGTTTTCCAATATGGCGTCGCTTTCTACTCGTCTGTAGCGGTGTGCGACTTTCACTTTCCGTAGCAGCCATTACGTGACCTGTACGAGGTAAAAACTCATGAACTTGTATTGTTTATTAAAAATACTCTTAATCTACATACATATTTGTTTGGATTTGCGGCAATTGTCAGAGTTATATCGCTTGAGTTCAATTTGTCACGCGGTGTCATACCTGATGTCATAATGGATTTTATATGGTACATCAAGTAAATGCTGCTTTTCACATATTTGAGTATTTTAAGTTTAAACAACAAATATGTGTAATTCAGATATTTAGGAAAAGCAAAACCTTGAAATGACCAAAAGTGACCCATGATTTATAGTCTTTTGAACAGTCACAATTGAAGTATATTTACGAGAATTTATCACAAACGTACGGTGGCCCACAAGGGACACAAATCCCTCTAAAATGAAATTTGTTCTGTACAAATAAAATACTTTCTTTTCTGGAAATCGAGGTGTTCTCTGCTAATATCTACCATTTCTATGCAAAACTACAAGTTCTTTCCACAGAAACAATTTTCTCTTAGTAAACAAGATGATATTTTTTTCTAAAGCTTAACCTTTCTCTGTTGAAAAGCACGCGTTCGCCCTATAAGAAACACCTTCTCCGTAGAAGTAACCTTCTCCGAAGAAGCAAAGACCTTCTCCGTAAAAGTGATAACCTTCTCCGTAGAAGAAAACCCAACTCAAATCTAAAGTTTTTTTTGCCAGCATTGCAGACAAAAACTACCAGCAAATCAGGATGCTTTCACTGTGGAGCAAGGCTTTCTTCAGGTAAATTTAAATGCTGACTTAATGGGATTGGAATCCATACTGTTCTCCTTCCTCCATAGAACCAACTTCGTGTTTTGGCGCGAAAACTACACGAAAGTGGGCATGTGTAAACTGAATTTCCGCTGAGGAAGCATCGCAGGCTATATGTAAGTATTATCATATTGTACGGGATACCTGTGGAAATAATAAAGCTTTCTTCTACGGAGAAGGTTTACTTCCACGGAGAAGGTTTTCACTTTTACAGGGAAGGTTACTTCTACGGAGAAGGTTTTCTTCTACGGAGAAGGTTTTCACTTTTATGGAGAAGGTCTTTGCTTCTTCGGAGAAGGTTACTTCTACAGAGGTGTTTCTTATACTGCAAACGCGTGCTTTTCAACAGAGAAAGGTTACGTTTTAGAAAAAAATATCATCTTGTTTACTAAGAGAAAATTGTTTCCGCGGAAAGAACTTGTAGTTTTGCATAGAAATGGTAGATATTAGCAGAGAACAACTCGATTTCCAGAAAAGAAAGTATTTTATTTGTACAGAACACATTTCATTTTAGAGGGAAGTGGTGTCCCTTGTGTGCCACCGTACAAACGCGACTCGTAAAAGGTGTGATATTTTTTGCCCATTTCATACAAAACAAAAATATTTAATAAACCTTACTTACTCCCATACTAGATGTAGAAGTAACGCGAATAATAGCTGGGCTACGGACGTTATTGAATGAACAAGTAATCCATCGAAGAGTTGTCACTCGTTGTTGTTGGATCAAGAGCGACACGTCTCTCTCTCAATTTCTCCAAAAAACTGACGTGAACGAGTCTAAAAACGACTTGTACTCCTTCAAGCCGGGTAAACAAACAGAAAAATCATCTTTTGAAACACGATGAACATACAATAATGAAATATCTTGAAAAGCATTTGCCGAGTCTGAACACCGCCATCTTGTTGTGCACTCTAAGCCGGTCAAACCAAAGTGATGACGTCACTAAAAAGTGATAATATAGTATCAAACAATGCATTCTGGGATACTAGTGTGACCTCCTCTGAGTTGGGATCATATTTCTGTCATTCAGTAACTGAGTACCTAGTACTCATGCTCCGTTAGCTTGGTAATTCGTTCGCATGCTCCGATACCTATCTTGACGTCACAGATTACTCTCGTTCTCAGATCTCTTTTTCACGTCCACCCTGACACAGGAAGCCAAAAATCGCACTGTAGCGGCCTACTTCCGGTAGAGCACGTGATTGCCACGTGCCCGCGCGTGCCAGTAATTTTACTGACCTCAAGGGCACACAACACACAGTTGTGAACATTGTTTGAGTCCACATT